AGTTTCATTCAATCCAAAAATATTAGTTAAAATCATAATTGTTGATTTATTCTACAAAATTGATTCTTCAATAATGTGAATAAATACACTATCGCTTATAAAAACTCAAAGAGTAAATATATAAGATATTTATCARTTAGATCAATTTTATAAAATATTTAAAATATGCTGATATTTTTTTAAACTAAACACATATAACTATAATAGAACGCATAAACAACAGTTATTGTAAACAAGAGTATTTTTTTTTATAGCAATACACATATTTATAATATTATAATTACTGATAAGAAAATATATATTATAGTGAGCAATTATACATTTACCCTGTGTGAAATTGTTCCAAATGCATATGCAAAATAAAAATAAAATTCTTTTTCGTTTTTGTATGAAATGTAAATAATTATTTTGAATTCATATTTTTGAGTTTTATATTGAAATACTTACGGTATATATATAGGAATACTCACTTTATAAAAAAAATCATTAAGGTTTAAAATCAAGTATAAATTATGCTTTCAATTTAACCAATAAAAAAGAGCGACACAAAAAAGTTGAATGAGCAAATCCCTACAAATACTGTTTAATAATAATTTAATAAAATTATAGTATTATTTACAAAGGATTATTGTGTATTACACTGGATAAGTATTTATTCACTTCGAGACCCGAGAAGTGTTTTTTTTTTTTTTATTTACCAATAATAAAAAAATAATATAATGTAATCATAAAACAATGTCCTATTAGATTTATGTGAAATTTTTGAATTTATAGGTATAAAATATTATACCTAAATATGTATAGGTACTATGATTGATATTTTTTATTCAATTCGAGTTTAATATTGAATAGAGAATATTTTGTTACAAAAATTTTATAATTGATCTACATAAATAAACCATAATTTTGATAAATAATAATAATAATTATAATAATTTAATGTTTTATTCAAATATTTATGGTCTTGATCATTACATTTTTTTTCAACACACCATTTCTTATCAAATTATTATTATAAACAATTCAATGTTGTTAGTCTACGATAGGTTGATTTAAAAAAAAAWTTATTTATAAAAGTTGTTTTACGTTTATATTATCAAATGCATATTTAAAAAAGTTGATATCTCCTCCACATTACCCCTTCATGGTATGCACAGTTATAAATAACTAATAATTTTTATCGTCATAGTGGTATAAATAATCAACCAACCAACCGTATGTTAAAATTAGGGTAGAACGCTCACCTCTGGCCTCACACCCACACCAATGTTTAACAGCGCTCGCTTTTATAGATACAATAAAAAAGACAAGTTGGTGATAAAAAAAAAAACAAAACAAAACAAAAAAAATGTAACATTTATATCTTTAAAATTAAATTTTTGTAATTTTTAATATCTACAATCTACCTATATTAGTTAAAGTCAAATGAATACGTTGAATTTTAAACAAGGTAATTAACGGCGTCGGAGCTGGTGCGTTTTTAGTACAAAAACGTGTTTCATTTTTTTATTTATTCAACTAGAYGGATCAAAGACCAATTTTCGAAATTATAATTATAGATAAGTATAAGATAAATATGCATAGTAAATTT